TCCATCCATCCATCCATCCATCCATCCATCCATCCATCCATCCATCCATCCATCCATCCATCCATCCATCCATCCATCCATCCATCCATCCATCCATCCATCCATCCATCCATCCATCCATCCATCCATCCATCCATCCATCCATCCATCCATCCATCCATCCATCTGTTGGATAAAATAAATATCCTTTCATCATCTCTTTACTCAAATAAGCCACTCTGAGGACACAAGAAGATTTTTAAACCGGGCTTTACTTGCAAGGGTAGACGTCACGAGGAAGCTTTCACAGATGTACAAAAGTTACATGTTTTTATCCTCGTCAGTGAGAATCTGCGACGGACAGTATAAAGATGTGCTGTTTATAATGCTTATCAGACAGACAGTGATGACCTCGGTCTACCAGCTTACAGTCTCGGCGATGTCAACAGTTATCAGGTGTGTCTGCAGGCTCCTCTCTGAGGAGACAAAACGCCTCTCTGACTCACATTAATTTAACATTAGTTACTAATAAACATCCATAACCTTTACCTAAATTCCCTTGACACCATCCATCCATCATCTAAACCCGCTTCTTCCTTTTTGTGTCGCAGGGGTCAATGGTGCCCATGTCCAGGAGTCGCTGTGCAAGAGGTGGAGGACACCCTGGACAGGTCTCCAGTCCATCACAGGGACATATAGAGGCAAACAACCATTCACACTCTCACTCACACCTAGGGACAATTTAGAGTTACCAGTCAGCCTAACATGCATGTTTTTGGTCTGGAAACCGGAGTACCCGGAGCAAACCCATGCATGCACGGAGAGAACATGCAACTCCACCCAGAAAGGCTCCCAGCCAAGATTTGATCCAGTAACCTTCTCACTGAGAGGCAGCAGCTCTACCAACTGAGCCACCTCAGCCAGATTTACCACTGTTAGCAAAATACATCTTGAATCATCAGATGGATTTTGGTGAAGTTCTCAGAAAGTAGTACATCTACAATTCTTTAACTTTTGGAATGAACTTGACTAAAGATGACCACTCCAGCTAAATGATATTCACCAACACAAACATGACTATAACTCAGACAGTTTTATTGTTATTGAGATAAACTTTGGTGTGGTCATAGCAGAGTGTCATCCTCAACACAAACTTCCAGCTCGGACACATCTCTCAAGGTTTTGCGATTCCATGACAATATGCAAAACATCATTTATGAGATTTGATCAAAATAACTGCAACTTTCTTCTCTCATCATAAGAAAATTCTGCCTTAAACTCTTGCATGACAAATGGCATGCATAATGCGTTCTTTTCAGGAGCACAAGATTAATTTTTTAATTTTTTTAAATGAAATTGTGTATTAGATCAGCTCTGCGAGGTGCTGGCCGACATAAACTCCTCACTTACCCTGGCGACAGTTCCCACCTGCTTGAAAATCGCCACCATCATCCCAGTCCCAAAGAGCTCTACAGTGACTGGTCTGAATGACTACTGTCCAGTAGCCCTCACCTCGATAGTCGCTAAATGCTCCGAAAAACTGGTCATGACCCACATCAAAACAACCATCAACATCAACGAGGACCCTCATCAGTACGCACACCACGAGAACCGATCATCAGAAGATGCCATCTCCTCTGTGGTCCACACTGCACTCAACCACCTGGAGCAGGAGGACTTCTATGTCCGTATGCTTGTTGTGGACTTCACGTCTGCCTTCAACACCATGATCCCCCAAACCCTGATGGACAAACTACTCAGACTAGGACTAAGCCCCTCCATTTGCAACTGGGTCCTAGACTTCTTAACAAACAGACCACAGTCAGTGAGGATCCACAACTTCTCTTCCTCCACCATAACCCTCAGCACTGGCTCTCCTCAGGGATGTGTGCTGAGCCCTCTCCTGTTCACTCTGCTCACGTGCACCTACTCATCCAGGCTGCCATATTGTAAAGTTTGCAGATGATACAGCAGTGGTAGGATGCATCACAAACAACAAGTCCAGCTACAGGCAGGAGGTGGAACACCTGGAAAGCTGGTGCGAAGAGAACAATCTTCACATCAATGTGAAGAAGACAAAGGTGATGATTGTGGACTTCAGAAGGAACAAACACTCCTACACCCCCTGAACATAAGAGGATCTGCGGTGGAAGTGGTCTCCAGCTACAAGTACTTGGGTGTGCACCTGAACGACAACCTCAGCTGGGGCAACTATACCACCAGCCTGATCAGGAAAGCTCATCAGACACTCTACTTCCTCAGACGGCTGAGACGAGCTGGTCTGGGAAGCTCAGTCCTCACCTCCTTCTACAGGTGTGCAGTGGAGAGCATCCTGTGCTCCAGCATCAACGTGTGGCATGGAGGCTGCACAGCTGCAGAAAGAAAAGCTTTGCAGAGAGTGGTGAAGGCTGCACAGAAGTCTGTTGAAGTCAGCCTCCCCACCATTACAGACATTTACACCCCCAGATGCAGGAAGAGGGCCACCTGCATCATAAAGGACCCCACTCACCCAGCACACACACTTTTTGCCCCGCTCCCCTCAGGAAGGAGGTTGTGGAGCATTAAGTGTAGAACCACTAGACTGAGGAACAGCTTCTACCCTGAGGCTGTTAGACTCATGAATCTCTAATCAGGATAATTGCTGTAAAAAAATCTCATCATGTTGCTGCTGATCTGTTTCATGTTGCTGTGTTCACATGTGCTCCTCTGCTTACACAGACTCATGTTCGTGCTGCTGTTTGACGTAATGTTTTAATGTTATTAGTGCTTAGTGTATATTTAGTTGATGTTTTTCTTAGTTCATATCTTAGATCTTATTACTGTTTTTCATTTACATTTTATTGTTGGATGTAACTGGGACCCTGCGTACATCATCTTGTTCCACCACATGTGATGCGAACGACAAAGAATCTCTGACTCTCTGACTCTGATTATTCTTCTTTCACTGTTATCAGTGATTAACTAACGTATTTTTCAAACTATAAGGCACACCAGATTATAAGGCATATTAAGCGGAATTCATTTTGACAGATTTTTGAGCACTGTGTACCACATAAAATCGGTTTGAGGTCAGTAAGCACAACCAGAACTAATACATAAGATACACTGGATTGTAGGGCTCACTGTCCAATTTTGAGAAAATTGAAGGATTTTAAGTGCGCCTTATAATTAGAAAAATACGGTAAACGTTGTCAACATGAGTGTGTGTAAAACAATATTTATATTCTATCACTTTAACAGGAGTTTATTCATACAACAAAACGGACTTGAAGTGTAAGTACATTTCTATGTGACTCCATGTAGCATTTCTGAACATTAGTTGACAAAATATTACTTTCCTGTGGGTTTCTTCTACTAGAACAGTATAAGGACCATCACTTCGACGGAGCAGACCATGAAGACACTGAAGACACCAGAACCATTAATCTTTTTCAGTCTGTTGCCACATAGTGATACATCATAAAGAACCGTACTCAAACCGAACACCACCTGACAAATGTTCATATTTGTATTCATTTTTATTATGTCAGTCTAAACTTAAAAAAAAAAGCTACAGTATGTTATAGTTCTGAGAGCATTAGGCAGATACCACAGAGCTAAACCAGCTGCAGCAACATGAATATTTTATGCCTATGATATAAGCAGTTAGCGTATTGGTAATAAAGCTATACAGCCAAGAGTGGGGGATTCAAACAAACATTCGTCTCTCGGGTAAACACCTGCAGCAGTGCGGATGTCACCAGCAGCTGCAGCAAAATTTTCCAGC